TCTCAGACTTACATTGTTGTCACACATACATGTTTTTTTTTTTTAAATTTCAGACAAGACAGTTGTTCGGCTGACGGGTATACAACATCGGTGTACACGCTGAGTATCAGTTCAGCAACATTCGATAATCGTCGTCCATGGTACCTGGAAGAGTGTCCGTCGACCATTGCTACAACATATAGCAGCGCTAATATGAATCAACCAGCCATCGTATGTAATTTATGCCAATTTTTTGAGTTCGGAAACAGGAAGGGACCGAAGCAGGAGTGCAGGGAAGGAAGAGACGAGAGGAGGAGAAAAAGGAGGTATCCCGCTTTTTGAGACAGGGACTTTCTCATTTATTTTACTGTAAGCCAAGAAGCGACTGAGTGAGATTATATTAACAGTCGGTTTTTTAGCCTTTTCTGAAATTTCAGTTTGTTCATCAGCTTTTTTATACTTTTTATTCAGTTAATTTAAATTATATTCAGATAGCTTGAATCAAATACATTAGAAATTTCAAACTTACTGTAAACAAAAATTATCAAATGCTGCAAGTTTTTCTTGGTTGCTTTGACCAAAGTTGCATCACCCGGTGGTTACCCTGTTGGCAATTATGGCTTTTGTGCCCTTATTCCCACTTACCCCTTGTTGCAGAAATATTATCGTATTAGATTCTGTCTGCTGCGACTTTTTAGCTGTAATGGTAACTGTAGTACTGCAGATTTAGAGAAAAAAATGAGGGGAAAATGTCCATAACGAATATATGTGAAGAAATTAGCAATGCTTATGTACCAGTAGTGCGTGTGTGTATATTGATGTGAATGTATAAAGACTGACGCAACTAATACATGTGAAGTTGGCAATGATAATATATTAGTGATATATATATATATGTTGATGTGAATGTGTCAGTTATGAGTAAAGAAGCAGATAATGCTATTGTACCAGTATCGCATGTAAATCCCTAAAAATATCTGTTTTTCATGCAAAGATTATTTTGAAAAATGATATTTTAGGTAACAGTTGATGTTCCAAATGGTTGCACTCGTTCGCATACGGGTACCAGTGCATCAGCGCCACTTGCTGCGGGTATTATTGCGTTGGCATTGGAAGCTAAGTGAGTCTTCTGTGTCGTGAAATATGTTTGTTTTGTGCATTTTAGTAGCAATATTGATTGAATTGTTTGGCCGGAAGTGGTATTATTCTTACGTTACGTTTGTGTTGCTAGGTTGACGTCTAGCATGCAGAAAACAGTGCATCAGCGCCATCATTATCAGATACTGGTTAATTCTTGTTGTCATCGTTACATTGCTGGCAACGTGTCATTATTACACTTACTTTCACTACCACGTTATTGTTATTAAATATTGTCAATTACTATTGACTATTATTGATTATTATCGTTAATTACATTAATTATTATTAATTGCTGTTAATTATTATATTATCCTTAATTATCGTGTTGCCTTCAACTATTGTATTATTTTTTAATTATTGTGTTATTTTTAATTATATTATTTTTAATTATTACATTATTTTTAATTATTGTATTGTTATTAATCTTTACATTATTTTTAATAGTTATATTATTTTTAGTTATTACATTATTTTTAATTATTATATCATTTTTAATTATT